CTGGGATTACAGGCTTGAGCCACCGCGCCCGGCCCATAAAATATTTTAAAATATATAATATATGTGTTTCTTTATTAATTCATTAAATTACAAGAGATACAGAGGCAGGTGGATCATGAGGTCAGGAGATCGAGACCATCCTGGCCAACATGGTGAAACCCCATCTCTACTAAAAATACAAAAATTATCTGGGCATGGTGGCACGTGCCTGTAATCCCAGCTACTCGGGAGGCTGAGGCAGGAGAATTGCTTGAACCAGGGAGTTGGAGGTTGCAGTGAACTGAGATGATGCCACTGTACTCCAGCCTGATGACAGAGTGACACTTCGTCTCAAAAAAAAAAAAAAACTACAACAGCTAGCATCATGATTTTGAAGTAGTGATGAGTAAAACAATATTTTTTCAATAAATTACTTGTGAAGTGTAATGATATTTTAAGATATGTGCAACAACTCTACTGATATGAAAATATCTGATTTCTACCAACAATAATATCACAGGTGCTGTTAATATCACTGATTTGTTATCTGTATCCATAATTGAAGAACATGCTACATTTTAATTAGTGAAAATAAAGGTGTAATTTTTTCCTCATGTAAGGTCAAGATCCTCTGAATTCTATCCACAGACCCATGGAGAGGAGAGTCTGCGGTCTCCAGGTTAAGAACAGCTGGCTTCCCTTCCCCCATGTACATACACACATACTCCTATACACAGTTCGCTCCTTTACCTCCTTTTCTCAAATACTGCCTTCTCGGTGAGCCCTTCCCTGACTATTTTATTTAAAACTGTGCTCCCACATTGTGTATCACCCTTTCCTACTTAAGAGTTTCTCGACAGCACTTAATCACTTTCAAACGTAATATATATTTATTTTTTGGAATTTAGAATAAAATCATGTCCAGTCTTAACCTGCTCACTCTAGCAGCTAACATTTTTACCCTTTTTTGTTTAGGTTCCGGGGTACATGTGAAGGATGTACATGTTTGTTACATAGGTAAACGTGTGCCGTGGTGGTTTGTTGCACAGATCATCCCAACACCTAGGTATTCAGTCCAGCATCCACAGGCTATTTTTCCTGATGCTCTCCCTGCCCTGCCCCTCATTTATTGTTTATTTTTTACGTATTTATTTTTGTTTGTGTGTGCTGCGTCCCCAACACCAAGAATGGTGCCTGCCATCGGGGAGGGCTGTGGAAAAAAACGAATGATTACATTTCCAAGAACTCTGTTTCTTCTCATTTCTTTCCTGTAAAAAGTTAATTAATGATTATATCCAAAGTATGGATTGTGGAAAAAGGAAAAAAAAAGTTAATGAATGATTTGTGAGACTTTTAATAAAGATTAAGGAGTTACAATTAGCTTTATCGTTATCACTCTGTTAAAGCTTCCAAGGTTAACCTTAAACAGCAGCAGAGAGCTGTGGAAATCCAAGGATTTTCACAGGACTTCCAGTCCTAAGCAAGAGGTATTTTCAAGAGCTCATTAGAAGGCCTGGGTCTCACCCCAAGTCAGTGAACCACCTCAGAGGCAAAGTGCCGCTTATAAACCTCTTTCTTGCCAAGACAGCAAGCAGAACCCCCATCCCCAATCAAAGCAATAATAGTAATACTTTTTATTTCTGGCAGTGTGGTAAAATAGAAACCACATTAGGTCTCAAGGTCAGCTAGATCTAGGAGTCAATTCTGCCAGCACTTACTAGCTGTGTGGCTGTGGTTAAGTTACTAAACCTTTCTGAACAGGTAAGAAGGCGTTTGGGGGAGAAGGAGATGGAATGGCTCCCAAAGTGACCAGTGCAGAGCAGGTGCACTTTAAATGGTCACCCCTCCCTCATCTGTCTCTGGAGATCATCTCTTTAGACTGTGCCACCGTAAACTGGTGCCCTCACTCCCACCCCTAGATATGTGGCTGAGACAGTCATTGGGACCTTGACCATGAAGCTTTGCAGAACAATTTTACCCTTCCTAAAGAAACCCTCTTAGGTAGCTGGCAAAGTGCTAATGGGCACTGTGCACCCTGAGCCAGGTGCTGCTTTACACATACCACATGTATATGTACATACATACATATATGTACATGTGCACACACGGCCTCAGGAACCCTCCAACCACCCCATTCTACCCAAGAGGAAAGAGTCCAAAGGAGATGAATTCACTTGCCCACATCACACAGCTTCTGAACTGCAAAGCCAGGATTAGAACCTAAGTATTTAACCATTTTGTTACGCACTCCAAGTTTGCAACACCTGTTTTCAGACTCTGAGCTTGGCTAGGGAAAAATCCCACCAATTGACCACTGAGAGCCACAGTCAAGTCTAACTGGGAGGTTATACCCAGATCATCCTCTTGCCAGACAATTCTCCTCAGACTTTGTGAATGAAGGCCAAGGAAGAAGAAATGTTGCAGTGACTCTCTTTGAGCTCATATTTCTTTCTTGTTGCAAAAACTGCTTATTTCAGCATCCATCATCTCCCTCTTTGTTGGGTAGACAATCCGCCCTGCCGGAGGATTTGTGCTGTTATTATGAGTTTGTTTATTATTAGATTTATTTCTCCTATAAGCAAATGTGTTCACAACATTCCATCGGGGAATCTTCTTAATTGTCACATAAATGTCATCTTATGTAAATTGAATATTTGTCTTCCCATGGAAGGGGGTGGAGGGGAAAGAAAGAATAAACAACCTTCAGTCTTGGAGAGGGAAGGCTACTCCTGTGTCCATTCACAACTCACCCACGTGCCTTCAAAGCCAAAGGTGAGCTGAAAAATTATTGGATCATCTTTGAGGGGCAGTCGAGCATGAGGGGGAAGAAAAAGTTGGCCACTGTGCTTTGGGGATATTAGGCCAGGCTCCCCACAACCTGCTCCCGAGGACAGACCACCCCCTCCCAGGCATTCCGAAGAGATTGAAGCTTGAGCCCCCCATCCCTCCCCAACCAGGAGGCCAGTCCTTCCCCTTCCTCGAGAGAAGGTGAGCTCGGCGGGCGCAGCGGGTTGGGTGGGTGTGGCCCGCGGCTCCGGGAACAGACCCAAGGCCCCGCCACCACCGGCTAGCAGCCCGACAGCCCGCCCGCCTGGCGAGCGCAGGCTCTTCTTCCAGAAACTGCGAGGATCCGAGCGCACTGTTTGTGCACCACAAGGTCAAGTCGGGAAGTGGAGCCGGAGGAGGAGGGGCGAGGAGGCGAAGGGTGGGGAGAGGGGCGCCCTGCTTCCTCGCCATGTGCCAGCCTTTGGAAGTTACCCCTCGGTTTTTAACCCTTTCGGGGTAATGGGAAGGAAGAGCAAGGGGGAAGGGGTCGCCCCGGGGCAAAATCCTACTGGGGCCAGGATGTGCAGCCAGCCACCTACCCACCCATCGCTGGCTTCTCCACCCCCCGGAAATGCGGGGCAGCGCTAGGCCCCAGGAGGCACCCGGGAGGGGGGAGGGGGCGACGAGCCCAATGGGGACCCTCTCTACGGACCGCCCCTCTTTTCTTGAGGTAGCCTACAATTTCAAGTTTCCCCCGCCCGGAATGTTAGTTTTACATTTGGAGTGGGTGCGGGGAGGAGGGCCGCGCCCCCTCCCCAAGACTCGCGTGCGCCCATCCCCTCCCCTCCCCTCCTGCCAGCACTTTCTGCTCACTTCTGGCGCTGCGAAACGCCACGCGATTTATTCGATTCGCATTTTAAAACCAGCGATTCAAAAGCAGGGCCTAGGGCGAGGGTCTTCCAGCGCTAGAGCCCCGGGGGGCGGGGTGCTCAGTGCAAACCTCGTTCCCTCCGCGAGTGTCGCCTCCAGGCTGTTATTTGCAAAGAAACGTCTTTTTGACGCAGGGAGAAATGGCAAATTTTAAGTACGTCATTAATATGGCGCCAAAAGATTTTTTTAAGTATAAGCTTGCTTTTTTTTTTTTTTTAAGGTTGCGGGGGGCGCCGCCTGGGTCTGGGGCGCGTAGGGGGCGGGGTGTGAGCAGAAAGTGTGAGTGAAAGAGTGGAGGGGCGGGGTATGTGTGTGAGTGTGTGAAGTGTGAGCAGACCTGATGGGACTTGCATGGGCGCAGCCGCCGCTCGGGCCCGGCCCTGGGGACGGGGCGGGCTGGGGGCGCCCCAGAGTCCATGGGGAGTCCGGGCCCAGGGTGCGAGCAGGCGTGGTGGGGGCGCGGCGAGGCAGGGCACCCTCCCCCCACTGGGCCCGCAAGGCTACCTGGACTCCCCGCTGGAGCCAAACAACTGGGCGGGGGGGGGGCGGTGACGGGGGGTGTCGGGAGCGGAGATCAGAGTGAATAAGAAAAAAGTGGCTACTCCCCCTCCCTCGCTCCTCCTGCCCGCCCCCACCCCACCCCCACCCCAACACATTTTTTTTTTTTTTTTCTAAAGAGATCACAAGGAAGTCTTGGTTTAAAAAGAAACAGAAACATACACAGGGGGTTGGTGAATGGTGCCGACCGCGGCCATCGCAGTTGGAGGCTATTTTTTGGGGGGGTGAGTAGCGTCCATGGAGTTACTTTGCGCCCACTCCTAGTGGCACCCGCTCAGGTCTGGCGGGCTGACTGTCCCCGGCGGGGGGCGTGGGGCCGGGGACGCCACGGGCCCCGCCGCCTCCCTCGCCGCGACCCCGGATGGATGAGCGCCCCCCGCCCTCCCGCGCCGGCCCCAGGAGCTCCCGGCTTCGGGAGCATCCTTCCCGCGCCGGTCCCTGCAGCGGCGCGTAGCCGCGGGCAGCGCCCCTCAGGGGGGTACCGCGGAGCAAGGTAAGATCCAGCCCCCGGCGGATGGGCCCTGCGCATCTCCACGACATTATTTGGTGTTTTTGCAACAGATCTGCCAGCGCTCCTCGCTCCCTCGCTCTCTTGCTCGCTCGCTCCCTCTCTCTCCTGCTGGCTGCCTGTTCTAGGAAGCCAGCGCGGAGGGGGGGGGGATGCACAGCACAGGGGAGAGAGATTGCGCATGTTGGTCAGTCGTGTTTTAAAGAGTACAGTGCAGGGAGGCTGAGAGGGGCGCATGCAGCAACAACTTTTGGAAGGGTGAGCTTGGCGACCTTCTTTATTAATGACTGCGGCAAAGCGCCCCCGGGTCGGAGGGGGCGCGGGAGGGCGGGGGCGCGCCAGGGCTGCAACTTGCCCCGCGGGCTCCGGCCGGGCGTAGGGGCTGCAGCGAGAGATGAGTCCGGTGGGGAGGTTGAGTGGCCGGGGCGGGGGCTCTGAGAACCGGGAGCTATCTGCCCTCCTGCCTCCCCGAGTTTCATTTTGTTGATACGCAGCACGTCCGGGCGGCGAACCGGGCTGAGCCGGTGCACATGACCTCGCGCTGGGCTCACGTGCAGCCGGTCCGGTCCCAGACACCTTCCGGGGGCCACCGCCTCCGCCCTGTCGCCCCCTCTCCCGGCCCGGTGCACGCGGGCGCTGCACGCGGGGGCAGCATGCTCGGCTCCTGGGCTTGGAGGCTCTGCACAAATTAGACAGTTTTTTGGAGGGGCGGGGGCCACCCTTTCCAGGTGAGTATGGAGGGTGCGGAGCCTTGGCGCCAGGGGCGCGGACTGGGGTCGGGGACAGCCCCCACCTCCGGGGCCGCGCGGGAGTCCGGCGGGGGAGAGGCGCTGGGAGAGTGGAAATGTACCGGCGGCGGCCGGAGCGGCGGGTGCGCGCCCGCGGGGCGACGGCAGGGGGCGTGGCCCTTGTTTACCTTCTTCCAACTCTGCCGGTTCGCGTCCCGCTTCAGGGACGGATCCGCAGTCCCCTGCCCTCTGCCCCTGCGCCCTGGGTGTTACTAGGAAGATGCGGGCTTGTGGCGGACCCCGTTTGGGACGCACACACCTGACTCAAATGAGTGACATTGCAGCTCCCGCCCCCACCAAGCACTGCTGCAGTCCCTGTGCCGGATCCCCGGCCCCGCCCCGCCCCCGGCAGTGGCATCTTCCCGGCCTCACCTCCTTCCTCCCTCTCCCTCTCCCTTCCCACCCACTCGCCTGCGCCTGCGGAGCGGCGCCCGCCCGCCTCCTCCCCGCCTGGGTGCAGACTTGTGGCTCCCCATGGTTTCTTCCCGCCCATCCCTGGGTCCTGAAACACCCTCTCTTCTCGGCCAATGGATGAGAGGGGTCAACTTGGCGATTCTCAGCTGTTCTGCCGGAGGATGGGAATGCCTGCGAGACAGCCAGGAAGGCTTCACTCTAGCTTCCAGAGGCCCAGCCCTGTACCCTACTGCACACGGCTACCCACGCCCCTCCTCCCGCCCCGAGGCTCGGCTGCTCTTCCCGGCGTCTCTTAAACCCTTCCCCCGACCGGAGCGTCAAGCCCACCCACCTCCCAGCGCCGCCCCTGGTCCGCAGAGCCTCTTGCCCTTCCTTCGCCTGGGCCGGAGCCCCCCGCAGCCTCCTCCGGCTCCTCCTCCCGGCTCCCGCTGTCGGAATCACGCCGGCGCGCCTCCAGCCTGCGGTCCCGCGGACTGCCTCCAGGGGCGGGCTGGAGGCGCGCTCAACTCCCCTCCCAGTCCCCTCAGCCACTGCCGCTGGCCTGGGCACTTTTTAACCAGCTTGGCCGTTGGCCTCTTGCTGGAGGCTGGGGGAAGTGAAGGGTCACCAGGTGTCTTTGCCCTATGTCAAAGGCAGACTGCGGTCGGTGATTCTGGTCTCTGCAGGTTTAAAAACCTCGCCACTGCTTCTAGCACCCCCGGCTCATTTTCTGCAGGATTTCGAGGCACAAAGTTTTATCCTGGGTCAGAGTTTGTAGGGGGTCATTGAGAGGTGTCATATTTCCATTCAGAGCGGTTCCAAAGCGGCTAGGAAGGGGCTGGGTGGGCCGTGCCTTGCCTTTGTTGGAAGGAGGACCTCTGAGATCTGATCCCAGACAGGCTGTCAGGACGCCCCCTTAGCATTTATGCTTGCAAACTGAGTCCTGCGCCTGGGAGGTGTAGGGCCGCATGGCCCCTCCTCTCGGAGTGGCTTTAACTCCCTGCCTTCACTGGTAAAATTCCCAGTAGGACATTTGGCAAAACGGCTGGGCAGGGAGCTGCCAACCGGGCCTGGCTTTGTTTCCTGGGTTCCCAGGGCTTCTCCCCTACCCTGACTTTCTCTCTCACCCCAGGGCCCCAGATGAACGCACCGTCCGTCCTGTCCCATCTTCCCTGGACGGGTTGGGACTCGCAGAAGCAAAGGAGGAAAATAACAACAGAATAACTGTAAGGGGGAAGGAATGAGTAATAAAGCTGACCCAGGCAGGGAGGAGGGCTTTCATGTTTAAGAGATGCTATTTGCTTTTTAGGTCACAGGCTGCAAAAACAGGCTTTGATCCGAAGTGGGCGAATAATTTATTGAGAAAGTTTGCATGGTAGGAGAAAAAAGCGATGTTTGTTTGATCTGGAGCCCTTTAGGTTGTCCCAAGTGCTGTTGGCTGTTGTTTGGAAGAGAAAAGCTTTTGGTTCTGCAGCAAATGTCTCACAGAGGGAAGTCCTCGCCCCAGGCAGCAGGACTTGCAGTGAATGTTGGTTTTGAAACTGTTTGGCCAAGGGTCTCCCCAGCACTTTTGGAGATGAAGTGTTTAAGGATAGAGTTGTTTGGGCTCAGGATGCAGCAAATGTTTCCAGAATGTTTTCCCATCCAAAATGCTTTTCCTTTCCCTAAATTGCCTGGCTAAAGAGCCACTAACAGTGGTCCAAGAAATCTCCACTTAGCTTTCATTGACTGGTGAGGTGGGACTGCCGGTCTCCAGGCCCTAGATGCACCACAGAGTCTTGAAGTTAGGCCTTGGACACTGACTCCCATGTCCTTGAGGTTGGGGGTTAGGGTATTCTGGCTGTAACCCTGTGTTCCTTTTAACAGGAAGGCAGTTGTCTTATGCTCATGACACAGGTAAGAGGCTTCTAGTCCAAATTCTTCATAGCGCATGCAGCAGGCTCTTTGGGACCTCTCAGTTCTCCCTTTAGGTTCTCTGATGGGGAGGCCAGGTCAGAGTTGGGGAGCAGGATACCTTTGGCTTGCCCTGTCCTCCAGATAGGACCCTTACCATGTGACTCAAAAGCTTACAATTGTAGGTCACAGCTCAGAGCTCCTCTCAGCTTATAGGGATCTGGAATATTCACACCCACACCCTGGAACTTGCAGGTCTGTACACTTTAGTCCACTGGGGATGGTGTATACCATCCAGGCTGTGCAATTACCAACTACCTCAGTTCTTATGTTACAAGGAGCACTTTCTGCAGATAGCATTAATAACAGTACCTATCTCATGTACAGAATAAGTGATTGCATAAAAAAAGACTAAGCCCAAAGCCAGGCATGTGATAAGCACTTGATTAGTACTAGTCATCCTTACTCTACCTGGAGAGGGCCTCAATGTAGCTTTGACCTTTGATCTCTCACCTTTAGGCTAGGCCAGAGAGCCAGCTCCCTTCTCTGCAGAAGGGATCCGAAGGATGCTGCAGGTGCCAATGGGCAGCCGATGTGGGAGCCAGTGGACTGAGCTCTGCCCTCTCTGGGACAAAAGTAGGGTGAGAAGGTTCTGAAGAACAAAGTAGACAGAGCCTTCTCATTCTCCCAGCACCCCCTTGGTATGTCCCCAGAACTGGTCTGGAGGGTGGGTGTGGGCAGTGTCTTCAAAGGGAGCTGGGTCCCCTCTGGGACACTTGAAGTTGCAGACAGGTGGTGGCGGGTGTTGGAGCAGGGTTCGGGCTCCCCTAGGCTTGGAGAAGCAGGTCCGGGAAGCCAATTGGAGGATCCTAGGCAGCAGCCCTCTACTCTGTGTACAAAATCATTTTTGTAACTGCAATTACTGTCCCTGAGAAGGCATTAAAGTTAATGAGAGATAGGAAAGAGTGGGGCTGTGACCCCTGTTTAAAGCGGTTTAAGAGTGTGCAGCTCTTGTTTTCTGAATGTCTGGCCTTCCCAACACAAGGAGGCTCTGAGGACAGGTTTTCCAGCCGAAATATCATTAAATTGTATTAGCATCTTATTACACACACGCCTTCGCGGTCTGCCTCAGACAGGGAGAGTTTTTGTTTCTCTTTGAAAGATTGTGTCTGGAATGGTAAATTGCCTGCTTGAAAGCCCTTTTTCCCCTCTTTTTAAGGAGGAGGGCGAAGTCCTGCTGCGTGGTGGCGGGCAGGCCAGGCCTGGTGGCCCCGGGAGAGGAGAGGCCGGAGGCCAGGTTGGGGTGTTTTAACTGCCCAGGGAGTGGCTGCAGTAGCAGGCCTGAAAGACCCACTGTTCCCAGGGTCAGCTGGAAGGGCGTTAATGGAGGCCCAGGGTGTTTATTTGAGTTTATTTGCAGAGAGGTCTTTAAAGGGGGCTGGCATTGGGCATTGGCGTTTTAAGTCCAGACCTGAGGCACCCACTAAGACCAATCACTAGTGCTGCCAAGAAAACATCTGCCACCAAATTGCTGCCCTATTACTGAGTTGACATTGATCATTAGCCAGGAGCCCAACCAAATAAAGCCTCCTGGAAAATGTGTGAGGTTAAGACGGGGAAGGCAGGCTGTGAAAACAAGGGCAAAATCTTCGGCTGGGGTGTTTGTTCCAGCAAGCCACAGGCAGGCCAGCTGGACTGTGTGGTCCCAACACTTCTCGGGCAGGGAGCAAGAGCACACTCAGCATTCCCTAGTATGTGCTGGGTGTCATGGGAGGGGTCACTGGGGTCCTGGCCGGAGTCTAGATGGAATGCTCGTTACTCTTTGTGGAACACATTCCAAGGAAAAGGACATGCAACAAGTAGCTCAACAAGCACAGCTGGGATGGGTATTCTGTGGACACTAGGGGGTGAATTTCTTCAGATAGGGCGATGAGCATAGACTGACATAGGCCACAGTTAAGCTTAAACCCAAAGATTGAAGAGTCGGACATGCATAGACTACATAGAGTAATATTATAGGCAGAGTGGAGTACAACCTGTGCACAGGTCTTGAAGGATGGAATCTGGAATCTTTGGCTTGTTCAAGGAAATGAAAGGAGCCCAGCATGGCTAGAAGGTGGTGAGGAAGGGGATAGTGGTCAATATGAACTTATCCAGGTGGCAAGGGCCAGATTCTGTAGGGTCTTGTGGTCAGGAGCTTAAGATTTGTCCTTTGATCTATGAAGCCTTTGAAGATTTTCAGTAGAGGCATGATGTGATCTGATTTATGCCCTTTAAAATTTTTATTTTGGGCTGGGCGCAGTGGCTCACGCCTGTAATCCTAGCACTTCGGGAGGCTGAAGTGGGTGGATCACCTGAGATCAGGAGTTCGAGGCTAGCCTGACCAACATAGTGAAACCTGTCTCTACTAAAAATACAAAAATTAGCAGGGTGTGATGGCAGGCGCCTGTAATCCCAGCTAATCAGGAGGCTGAGGCAGGAGAACCACTTGAACCTGGAAGCAGGAGGTTACAGTGAGCCGAGATTGCACCATTGCACTCCAGCCTGGGCAATAAGAGTGAGACTCCGTCTCAAAAAAAAAGAAATTTTGTTTTAATTTTTTTGTAGAGATGGGGTCTTACTGTGTTGCCCAGTCTGGCCTTGAACTCCTGGGCCCAAGTGATCCTCCTGCTTTCGCCTTCCAAGTAGCTGGGACTATAGGCGCACATCACCATGCCCAGCTTCTGATCTATAACTTTTTTTTCTTGGAGACAAGAGTCCCACTCTGTTGCTCAGGATCTCAGTTCACTGCAACCTGTGTCTCCTGGGTTCAAGCAATTCTCTTGCCTCAGCCTCCTGAGTAGCCGGGATTATAGGTGCCGGCCACTATGCCTGGCTAATTTTTGTATTTTTAGTAGAGATGGGGTTTCACCACATTGGCCAGGCTGGTCTCGAACTCCTGACCTCTCAAGTGATTGCCCACTTGGGTCTCCCAAAGTGCTGGGATTATAAGCATGAGCCACTGTACTGGCCCTTTTTGGTTTTTGTTTTTGTTTGGAGACAGGGTCTCACTCTGTCATCTGGGCTGGAGTGCAATAGCATAATCACAGCTCACTGCAACCTTAACCTCCTGGGCTCGCACTTCAGCCCCTTCAGTAGCTGGGACCACAGGCACACACCACCACTCCTGACTAACTTTTGTATTTTTTGTAGAGTCAGGGATTTGCCATGTTGCCCAGGTAATCTTGAACTTCTAGGCTCAAGTCATCTACCTGCTTTGGCCTCCCTAAGTGCTGGGATTACAGGCATGAGCCACCACGCCTGGACTGATTTATGCTTTTTAAACATCACCCTGGAAGTTGGATGGAGCCTGGACATGGGTGGAGTGATAGTGGAAGCTGGGAGATGAACAAGGGGTTCAGGCAAAAGATGAGATTGGCTTGGACCAGTGGTGACAATAGAAAGAAATTGGGTGTGTTCTGGAGGCGGAGCCTAGTGGACTTGTTGGGGCCAAGGATACACAGAGAGGCTTCTGCTTCATTGAGGCGAGTCCATGACACCCACACTTTGAAGGAGAGCTTCCTACCTGTGTCCCTATGCTGGGGGTTGCATGA